TATCCCCTCCCCACAAATATTTATCTCCGTGGCTGGGGGATTATAATACAACACAGGTAGATATATGTTTTAAATATGTTTCAGCACCGATATAATTTTATTAATGTGAAATCTTAACGGAATCTATGAACAGGCTGAAAATGCAAGTTAAAAAAATTACGCGTTGAGATAAAAAGTAAGAGAAAACCCATTACAATGCTTCCGAGAACTGCTCACTAAGCTAACAATATCTTCAGGTAATTGTATCTGAGAACCCATTACAATGATTCCGAGAATTGCCCACTAAGCTAACGATATCTTCAGGTAATTGTATCTGAGAACCCATTACAATGATTCCGAGAATTGCCCACTAAGCTAACGATATCTTCAGGTAATTGTATCTGAGAACCCATTACAATGATTCCGAGAATTGCCCACTAAGCTAACGATATCTTCAGGTAATTGTATCTGAGAACCCATTACAATGATTCCGAGAATTGCCCACTAAGCTAACGATATCTTCAGGTAATTGTATCTGAGAACCCATTACAATGATTCCGAGAATTGCCCACTAAGCTAACGATATCTTCAGGTAATTGTATCTGAGAACCCATTACAATGATTCCGAGAATTGCCCACTAAGCTAACGATATCTTCAGGTAATTGTATCTGAGAACCCATTACAATGATTCCGAGAATTGCCCACTAAGCTAACGATATCTTCAGGTAATTGTATCTGAGAACCCATTACAATGATTCCGAGAATTGCCCCCTAAGCTAACGATATCTTCAGGTAATTGTATCTGAGAAGTACTGATCATTATCACACCAGTTAAAAATCCTCTTTTTAGGTCACACTTACGTGTAATCCGATACTATACAGGTGGGTTTTACTTCGGGCGGTCCATTATTATTTCTTTTATTTCCTCCAAGTGTGAAGAGTTGTACAAAAAGAACATACATTGACATTACAGAAAGTAATAGTGCATTTGTACACAAATATACACATAAGAAGCATTTAAATTAATATAAAGTAAACAGTAGACACAGAGTTTACGTACGTATATGGTATACATACAACTCCTATAGTTAAGAATATAAACGCGCGAAGTAAGCGTTTTCCATATGGAACGATATAATATAAAGGAAAGTTATATAGTAAACACATATTCATACAAGAATCATTTCAATTACATACAAAGTAAACAATAGACACAGAGTTTACGTGCGTATATTGTATACGTACAACAACTCCTATAGTAAAGAATATAAACGCGTGAAGTAAGCGTTTTCCATATGGAACGATATAATATAAAGAAAACTTATAAAGTAAACACATTGCATACAAGAATCATTTCAATTACATACAAAGTGAACAATAGACACAGAGTTTACGTGCGTATATTGTATACATACACCAACTCCTAAAGTAAAGAAAATAAACGCTCGTACCCGTTTTCAATCAAGGCTTGGACTAAAATGTCGTCCACTTTATTAGAAACGATTGCTGGCAGATATCATTATCATAGAGGGCATCTCAGAAGCATTTGGGAAACGGAAACTTTTCATTTATCTCAAAATGAATTTTAAAAATTTCATTGTCAGCTTTAAGTCATTGGTCATTTAAAAAACCTGTGTATCTATAGATATAAGTTCGATATATCGCCCCAGCGATCATTGCCGGGATGTCAAATACATTTTCTATGAAGAAATATATTCAAAATAAGGCTATAACATATGTAGATATATGTTGACTTCCCATGTTACGGGGAACATATATATAAGTATAATAGTTGGTTTCAAACAGATATTTCGGAAACACGACAACCGACTTTCATCGGGTTTTCAGCGTTTTTACACGTAGGTCTTGAAATGAAATATTTATACATGAAAAGTAAAATTTTGTTCTCGTGCTGACATTATTATATTAAATGACGCATCATTTTACAAGTATTTATTTATTTATTTATTTATTTATTTAAATATTTATTTTTACAGAAAAATATAATTTTGTTCTCAGCCCCATCAACAAAAAAGTCAAAATATGTAAATATAACAAAAATATCCCGCTTATTAACTCACTCAGTAAAACAAACCCTGTAAAATACTGCACATTCACAAGCATTTTTCATATTATTATATGATTTCGCTTTAGATTAAGGGACATGTGAAGTTTCCATGTTGTCTTAATTAGCATTGGTGTAAATCCATGGGAAGTGAGAGCATCAGACGCTAGGCGATTGAATGACACCCGATACCCGTAAACATTTTTATTTCTCACGGGGTCCACACCAAGTCTGAATGCTAGTATAGCCATGTAGACATCATCCAAACGGAACGGTTTAGTATACCGCATGGCTGTTCGTACGTCCGACACAAAGTCCATAGTCATTATTACTGTTCCGGCTGCTACAAAAGGTGGGTATGTGTCCCACTGATACTCAGACACCGGGACGTGCCACTTACTGGTAACATTACGGTGTGGTTTAAAACCACGGTAGGTTCGTCCCATATATAACTGAACGCGTTGACTCATCGGTAACTGGTCGAGGAACAAGACCAGTGTTTTCAATGATACATAAATATCATCGTCAACCAGCATAACAAAGCGTGCTTTGGAACAAAATTCAGGTACCCAGTTAAACGCAGTGGATGTTTTTAATGTATTGTTGAAATATGTGTCCTGAAAATCCATTAAGATAATGTCGTTGTAGCTTTTAAGCTCTAACCATACACGACTCATGGATTCATCCTCTGAAATACCTAATATAAATACCGTTCTGATGTTAAAATTCCGAAGGTAACTTTCATTGCCCCAGGTTTCCCTGATAGCTTTCCTCTGTTGCCAGTGTTCACTTTTGGATTTCACCACAAATAGTAAAAATACGTCTGCTGTGTGTGAATTCTGATTGCTGGCACATCTATTGGTCGGATTGTGGAGGTAACGATGTTTAAAATCATTGATGGGCCGATGTTTAATTTGCCCAGTATGTTTGTAGTCCTGTATCAGTTTCACGATATCAATGTCCATTGGATAGGAGAAGTTTGTAAACGACATCTCCTTTTCATATGGAGGTGCTGTGGTGGAACTTGAAGGCACACGCTGTGATATCATTTCTATACGATTTACTCCAGTAGAAACAATTCTAGTGTTCATTATAGTTATGTCCTTGTGAATGGTAGACATTTTAGACCTTAAATCCCAACACATTGAATTTGATACGAGATACACAACGGCAATGGCTGCGACGATTTTCCACAACGTTCTCCTTCTCTGCCTCATTATGTCAATCTACCTTTCACGAAATTCTAAAAAAAGAATCTGACATACCTGATTTAACGATGGTATTGTTAAGTCGTTGTGTGACGGGTGCTTGGGTAGTAATTCAATATCATGACATTCTAGACAACCTTGTCCTTCTCGGCCCTATTATGCAATGAATGTGAACAATACATGTGATGGCGTTTACAGGTATATGTCAATCTCCACAAAACAAATAAAAAAAAAAGAATCCGACATACATTGGGATTGTTAAGTCTTCGTGTGACGGTTGTCTGGGTAGCAACTCAGTATCATATCATTTTAGGCAAACAGAGAATTTGGTACTGATTTGTTCATTGATAATATTACCATGTTTCGCTTTTACGTGACATTAAACATATACTACCTTCTACTTTGTAAGTACGTGTTTGCATTAAAATAACTTCATTATTTTATTTACTTTGAAAACGGATTGTCGTATTGTCCAATTGATATGTTGAATACAGATTTTGTATGGGTACATATACACATGTATGTAGTTTAGCTCAAAGAAATGATGTCATGACTGATCATCTGTAGGGGTTTAATGTGAAACATGCTTTTCTATGTAAGGATATGTAAAACTAGTAAAGAGTTTAGCGTTGTCTGGCACTCCAAGAACACATTATATCTATCACAATTTAACCCAAAAATTAAGTGACAGAAACGCTACCATGGACTTATTTCTTTTTCTTTTCTTTTTAAAAAATGGAATACAAATTGCGCAAAATATATATATTGAAAAAAAGATTGATAGCAAAGATTAAAGTCGACATGCAGTCTAAATGAGGAATGCGTCATATTGGATACACACATTGTATATGTAACACAGACTATATTTATGTGACTCTGGTTTATACCATATTTCATCGTTAGAAACAAATCAAAATTCTTATTATATACCGAGTCACCATTCAAACAGGATCGTACGTTTTAGTTAAAATTGACACATCAACCATGTAGATAGTGTTATCTATGTACACTCATACACTTACATCATTAATGCAGATACACGGATATAATCATCATGTCGTCAATGGTACATGTAGCTCATATAAAGTTATGAGAAAATATGAGAATATTGAATCGAAGCGTTTTGTAAAACTCGGTGTATACGCTGTATATACATTCTATGAATACATTATTTAAAAAAAAATTAACGAACACCAAGAAATAAATAGGTTTGTAAGATTGCAGCTAGATGTATCGGTTTCCCAGTATGTATTCAAGAGATGTATTTCAATCTTTAACTTTGACGCATTATCTCGTGGTTCATAGAGGATCTTAAAACATCAACAGTAAAGAGAAATATAGACCGGATCACCCACCTTTGTGTTTACTAGACTCCGCCTGTTAATCCTGGCTTAGATAACGTAAACAATGGCAGGTATCCCAATATAGACAAAAATATGACGTCACTTCATGATGGCTACAAAAAAGAACTGAAAAATGTTAAACGCTGTTAAAATATGCTACTTTAAATCGGTGCAATATTTTGGCGTCCGTTTTCGGTATTTAGATTTAAGAATTCAGATATTTTATATTGTTTGACATCTTTTCATTTCAAATATATTTAATTTTCTAAAATCATTTCCGTCCAATGTTTTGCACAGGATTCATCGAACATATTCAAAGAAATATAACTTGAATTTAAAAAAAATAGTAGATACAACATATACAAAACAGAAAATTGTTTAACGATATATATCTTAATACTCAGGACAAGATTGAAAAAGCGACCAGCGGAGGACAGAGTACAGAGATTTATCACAGAGTAGGTTTGGCAACCTTGGATACTCTGTTACGGTGTACTCTGTCGTACGAGGACAATGTACAGGAGCAAGGGTGAGTAGAGTTTGTATTCATAAAGGAGTGGAATAAAACTAGTTTTTCGCATCATTGTTTTAATACCAAATTTCGCTTAATATATCGTCCCGCTTAATGTCATGTTTCCCTCATTACCACATGCGATGGTTCAACATATTAGTTACCCCGAAGACTTTCATTCAATTATTTCCCCTTTTTCGCACTGATAAAACTTTTCGTAGTTCTTACGAAAACTCAATGTGTCATTACTAGTTAAGTGTTTTGCTACAATAAGCCATCATTTACAGACGGTATTTAGCAAAGGCCAATAATTGTTACTTAAATGTATAATTTAAACTATTTTTTATCGATATATCATCTTATCTTTCATTTTCCTCCACAGATCAAATCACCCTTATGTGAATGCTGTGAGGATACTTTCCAATCTCTCACTCAAGAGAATGATGTAAGATTTATCGAAACATAAAAACCTCACTTCTTCCTTCTTATACCGACATCTGCAATCGCCAAAGTTATCAAAGTTAAGATAGGAAGATTTTAGTAGAGTTAGGTCTGCCGTTCTGCCTGAGGATACTTAAACAAAAGTATCTCAAAGATATGTAACATTGATAATATGCCTTAATTGATACGTGTTTTCACTGAACTTTCATCATTCATGGGTATTTTTTACAGGCTAAGTTTTGTTCACGTAATCGTTTTTTAAAGATTGATAGGACGTTTAGACTGCAAATATTGTAAGACCATTATTAAGAAAATCTAGTTCATAATCGAAATACTTTCGACTGCCAAAAACGTTTGATCTGATAGAATGAAAAGTATTTTGCCTTTGCTATTTAAATACATGCACATTATCCTTCCAAGGTAAATTCTGTGAGCTGTTCATTTAAAAGTACAGCAATAGTTGATATCAAACATACAAAGTAATATCGCAGCCAAAAGACGTTAAGATACAGATGTAGCGATGTACATACAACATATTTACATTATCCGTTAACAAGCTAGACATTGATGAATGGTATGTACACCTGATAACAGACATAATGTTGAACAGGATCAAGATAGCGACTAAATTTAATGTTCGCGCCTGTATCAAAACTAGCTGTTCTTCACAAACACTTCATCAAGAGAGCAATACACATGGCACTTTCAAGATGATTAGTGTATCAAACAATGATAAAATTTATATGATAGAGGGGAAAACGCATTAGGTTAGCATTTCAAAGGGCAGCGCACACCTGATAGTAACCAAGTGTTAAAACTTCGAAAGAAAAATCCCGTTTACTGACACCCCAACACTGGCAAAGCAAATCTATTGTTTTGAAAAAAGAAATTATAAAAATGACTCTTAATGTGATTCAGGAATAATGTCAGAGTTATTTACAACGTACGAGACGGATATACTATTTTGGACAAGCTCAGTTACTGCCATTGATATGAAGAATGCATGAAAGGTATACATTTGTAGTCGGCTAGTGATATAGATACCATGCGTTGGAGGGAGAACCGCCAAAACGGTTTGAAGGGGCAAAGTGCTTAAATTAGACATGGAAAAAATGTCCAAATGCCTTGGAAATTTCTTAAAGGCATACAGCTTACTCAAGGCAAAGCATCACCCCATAGAAGTAACAACTTTACAGGTGTGAAACAGTTTTATCACGAGACGAAAAACCATTTGGTGTATTCCTTGTTACCTGTGCTTGGTTGTATCCCGATTTGCCCATTTTGTAAAATAACATGGCAGAGGAATGTTTTTGAAGGTTTATGGTCTGTTTCAGAGGGATTAACGTGTTACCTGTGTTTTAGCCTTTATCGGAAGATGATATAATATGAAATGATAGGAATTTTTTTAAGAGTTTAACAAATATTTATCAGTGCATGTTTTCTTGCTTAACTTCAACACATCACAGAAAATGATAAAAGATAATTGTGTGTAATGTTTATCATGAAATATCATATTATTGTATGCATTTCATGGCAACAAATGAGAAATATGTATCATGAAGTATGAAATGATGGTATGATTATCATAGTAAGTTCTTAATTTAAAAGGAATAATCTAAAAGTTTGATTAAAAAATAAATCACATATTTAGTATAGTATCTCAGGTAACATATAACTCATTTAAAGACACCGGTAAATATGTAATAAGTATAAAATTGACTATAATTTGTTTACAATTGTCTTCAGAATAAAAATGGGCAAATCAGGAACCTGCCTTTTGCTTTAAAATGGATTCTGGCTTGGCAAAAGGTCTTCGTTAAACGTGCACTTGGTATAGCAATATTCCATTGCCTCTCCTGTACACCAAAGGGAGACAAACCCGCAGAGTTTGTAATGCTTTGGAAGCCCAATGTCGAAAGTACAGTTCTACCAAGTGTGGATATTATGAAAGATTGTTATAGAAAATAAAATAATAACCAATATATCTTGTACATTTAATTCATGACATTTATTACATGTATTAGAATAACAACATGTTTAGCAGATAATTAAAAGATTAATGCATAAGAAAACGCAAAATAATTGGTAGTCATGGAAATAAGTGATGCTAACCACTGCTGGTCAATTGATCAAATAGTTTAATTTTGTTGTAATTTTTTCTGTTCCAGGGAACCCTGGATACACCCAGATATATTCTTCAATATGTCGCCAACTGGAAGGAAATATCACAAATATGCGAAGTATGTACATGACTTCGACGAGAAAGTCATCCAAGAAAGAAAACAGGTGTTGGTAGGCTATCTATTTACGTATTTACTCAAATCAAAACATTATTTACAATGGTTTCTGATATCCTCAAACACCATGGATTCTATACGTGATCATACACATTTAATGCGTTGGGTATCATACAAAAATACCAGAACGAGAAATCATCTGTATCAAATGATTTTAAAGTCTGTGTCGGTAGGGATAATTGAGACGATAGTAACTCTATATTTCCTTTTTCGGTATATATTTTGAGCGTGCCTGATGAGTTTCTCGCTTCGTAATTCTACAAGTATCTGTACATATTTTAGAGTTGATTTTATTTTAGAGTTTTCCTTGGCGATATTATCGTGCTATAGTATGATTGTGCTGATTATAGTTTCCTTACGTTGTTTGTATACCGTTAATTGTGAGTACGCAAATTCATCAATGCACTCATTTGCCGCGAGATAATAAAGTACTAAAATTTGATAGCGCTTAATTAAGTTTACAGTATCTGGGTATGGTTTTTATTCCTGTTTAATTGTTTTATCATTTAAAAGATTTGCATTTTGATATCTATAAATTCAATTTATTTAATTACAAACGTGGATAGGATACAGACATGTCAGTATTGACGAAACGACGACGGGACTTTCTAGACATTCTGTTGACCGCTCGAGATGAGCATGGCGTTGGGCTGACCGATCGTGAGGTCAGGGACGAGGTCGATACCTTCCTCTTTGAAGGTAAACCCTAGTGTAGTGTAATATATTATCTATATACTTACAACACGTAGATTTTATTTCAGACAATATCCTTAACGTACAAGAATTAAGATAAATCAAGGAAAAGAAAAAATGTCACAAATCATGTGGAAACGGAAATACGGACAATTCGTTCATGAAACCTGTATGTGTCTGTAAAGATTTTCATATTTCAGAATAGTTCATGGTTGTTAATATGAAAGTGTTTCTTACTTGTGTGTCATGTTATTGAAAAATATACATGTATTATGAATGAAAAAAAGCGTCGCTACAAAACGTTATCTGATATCATATCTAGGACATGATACAACAGCTTCGTCTCTAAGTTGGGCCATTTACTCGTTGTCAAAGAACCCAGAAGAGCAAGAGAAAGTCTACGAGGAAGTAAAACGAGTTCTCGGTGACAGGACAGATGTTGACTGGTAAGTATCCCATACGTGCGCAATTACCCTTACTTTCAATCTTACAGAACCTTGAGCAGCTTCTTCACAATACACTCAAAATACATAAACTGAATAACGAGGTGTTGCCAAAACCCACCGTTAGGACACTTCTGAACATCTTTTGGACAGGTATTTCAAACACTAAAATAATACAATTCTTTCCGTAATGTTTTTGTTGTAATGTTTGAAGAAAGCTGTAACAAATTCACAGATTTCCCAATTGTATTTTTTCCTTGCCGCTTCAGACGTTTTTATGTCAAGTAGTCAGTGTCGGCTAACTAGTGCAATAATTAATTTGCGTTTCACCAACAATTTCTTGATAAACGATATCCAGAGGAGTGTTGATATTGCCATCAGAAGCCCCTTTCTTTAGGAATTACCGTAAAATAAAAAATAAAAATGAATGATGATAATAATGATAAACTAAATTGATTTTACCGTTGGATAGGTCCGATATCAAGGAATTTTCTCAATTGACCTTATTCCTGAAGGAGTCCATGCGCATGTTTTCCCCAGTACCTTCCGTGGGTAGAATCACAACTAAGGAAATTGACCTTGATGGTCTAAAGATCCCCGCCAATATTGAGGTTTACGTGTTGATACATTCTCTAAACAATCGGCAGGATATATGGGGAGACCCTGAGGTATGTGATGTTTTTATAGTTTATAATTAAGATACTTAAGATTACCTGGAATTAATCATTTTTGATTGAATGTAATTTTTCATTTTGGCATCGAGTTTTCAGACAAAATTGTAATTTTATATGGCTATTAGTGAATCTTTCTTGAGTTGAATATAACATTACAAACTTTTCCAAATAGCTTTAAGCAAAATCTGAAAATCAAATTGATCAGTAACGAGTCTGTCATACATTGAATGTCCTCCCTATGCTGAAAATCAAATTGATCAGTAACGAGTCTGTCATACATTGAATGTCCTCCCTATGCTGAAAATCAAATTGATCAGTAACGAGTCTGTCATACATTGAATGTCCTCCCTATGCTTGTTTTATTTTATTTTGCTTTTGTTTTTCCTTTTGTTTGTTTGGTTTGGTTTTTACACTGACGCTCTAAAGAATAGCACACATGTAACTTCAACTTACGTGGAAATCTTGCTCTTTGTTTTTATATTATTGAAGAGTATATCTATATCAAATTTGTGTTACTATAGCATGGTGTTTGTTGATGAATTAAAAGCAACAGTTCTTGCTAAATTAAAATATCCTGAAGTTAAAGGAACTAATTCTTTTTGTACAGCTAGTGACGTCATATTTGTAATGTCTGCGACGTCTATAAACATAAACGAGGACAAAACATGAAGTGTATGAGTCATACCTGATAGCATTCGAGTGACCTGATAAATGTATAAAAAAAAACCCATTATCTATGATGAATTGGCTTAAAACGTCTTCTAAGTAATGCTATATGTTTTGTTATAGACGTTCCGACCAGATCGATTTTTAACCGAACCTGAAAAAGACCCATACAGCTACGTGCCTTTCTCTGCAGGACCAAGGTATGGTTGAAATTCCTACCAGCATTGTTAATTCCTAAATACTGTATAGGATATGCATTCTGGATTAATACTTAAACAGCAGAATATCTCAAAATTAAAACAAAAATCTCATACTCGTTAGAATTTGCTTAGGCACGAAACACTGTAAAAATTGAATTGATTTTTTTTTTCAATTTCTTGTATTTGAAAGAAAACCTGACAGATTTGTTTTATGTTAATTGGTAATATTTGGGATTGGTAATGTATATTGAATACATGATCTTCCATAACATTCTGGTAGTGATTGAACAATAATAACATCTATTCAATACACAAGACAGTCCAGTCCGGAAATCTGCTCATCAGAATAGCTATGTACATAAACTTCAAATCATGCCAATGATTCTAATTTGATTTTGAAGCGCCTTACCAACAGGGTTGTTATATACTGGAGCCTATAATTGCTACTATTAATTTTCAAATGAGAAATCAAACCTCAGGCATTTCGGTGAAAGTTCATTATTGGCGTTTTACTGACTACCGATGCTGTTTGAAAGACTGGCGAAGTTATAATCTTATTTTGTTAATATATCAGTTAATGAAATGCGTTTGTTGAAAAATAATTTTCAATGACAAATTTAGGAATCTGAAGTCTATACAAAAGCAGTGTGCATATATTTGATGTTTATTTACAGAAACTGTATTGGTCAACATTTCGCACTTGATGAACAAAAGGTTGCTCTTGCAAAATTACTTCAAAGGTAAATATTATTGAGTATAGTTCAAATAATCCCCGGTATTTCATTATCTCAGCAAATCTAATCCGTATAGCAACTTCATATCTTATCAACATACAAAACTGTATTGGATAAACTTTCCTGTGTTTTACATTGAATGTGGTTTTGTTTCAGATTTAAAGTATTACCAGAACCTGACCACAAACCGGAAGTAGATCTTGATCTCGTGCTGCGACCTACAAACGGAATACGTATAAAGTTACAGAGACGATAAAGTGTACTTCCGGGTGATCGTCATGTGTATTGCTTGGTGACAAATGATGTGGGTGATCGTCATGTCGTATTGCTTGGTGACAAGTGATGTTGGTGATCGTCATGTCGTATTGCTTGGTGACAAGTTATGTGGGTGATCGTCATGTCGAATAGCTTGGTGACAAGTGATGTGGGTGATCGTCATGTATTGTTTGGTGACAAGTGATGTGGGTGATCGTCATGTATTGCTTGGTGACAACTGATGTTGGTGATCGTCATGTCGTATTGCTTGGTGACAAGTTATGTGGGTGATCGTCATGTGGAATAGCTTGGTGACAAGTGATGTGGGTGATCGTCATGTCGTATTGCTTGGTGACAAGTGATGTTGGTGATCGTCATGTCGTATTGCTTGGTGACAAGTTATGTGGGTGATCGTCATGTCGAATAGCTTGGTGACAAGTGATGTGGGTGATCGTCATGTATTGTTTGGTGACAAGTGATGTGGGTGATCGTCATGTATTGCTTGGTGACAACTGATGTTGGTGATCGTCATGTCGTATTGCTTGGTGACAAGTTATGTGGGTGATCGTCATGTCGAATAGCTTGGTGACAAGTGATGTGGGTGATCGTCATGTATTGCTTGGTGACAACTGATGTTGGTGATCGTCATGTCGTATTGCTTGGTGACAAGTTATGTGGGTGATCGTCATGTGGAATAGCTTGGTGACAAGTGATGTGGGTGATCGTCATGTCGTATTGCTTGGTGACAAGTGATGTTGGTGATCGTCATGTCGTATTGCTTGGTGACAAGTTATGTGGGTGATCGTCATGTCGAATAGCTTGGTGACAAGTGATGTGGGTGATCGTCATGTATTGTTTGGTGACAAGTGATGTGGGTGATCGTCATGTATTGCTTGGTGACAACTGATGTTGGTGATCGTCATGTCGTATTGCTTGGTGACAAGTTATGTGGGTGATCGTCATGTCGAATAGCTTGGTGACAAGTGATGTGGGTGATCGTCATGTATTGTTTGGTGACAAGTGATGTGGGTGATCGTCATGTATTGCTTGGTGACAACTGATGTTGGTGATCGTCATGTCGTATTGCTTGGTGACAAGTGATGTGGGTGATCATCATGTCGAATAGCGTGGTGACAAGTGATGTAGATGATCGTCATGTCGTATTACTTAGTGATAAGTGATGTGAGTGATTGTCATGTGTTATTGTTTGGTGACAAGTGATGTGGGTGATCGTCATATCGTATTGCTTGGTGACAATAATCCCTGAATGGTAATCTCACAAACACTGCCTTTGTAGGCATGGCAAAACTTGGGATATATTTCGTTTACACTTGATTACTTTTTCAAATGCATTTTCAGATATTCATGGCAAACATTTTGGAAATATGCAAATGAATGTCAGCACACCTAAATATACAATAAGAGTAGGAAAAAAATGAGTCTAATTGATTGTCTTTAAAATGTTCTTTTCATGCCGTGTGCTTGTTAGCGGTCATCAGTATCATCATTTCAACGGGACTTTCGGCTGTTTGGCAACAATGTAAATGTGGTCATTACGCAGGACATGGCTATACTTGACTATTACACAACACAAGTATCTTCTATGATAACTTCCTGCTTACTTCAGCACTTTAGTTAATTTAATTAACTGGATTTAATTATTGAACTTCAGACACCAAAATGAAAAGCATCTCCGAATACATATATCTGAAATCAGATTAGCATTGCCACAACGGTACAGCCAATCAACGAATACAAATACGTCGCACAGCGGTTTCACTCTCCTGGAAATAGATGGTGATGCTAGTAGTCTAACCATCCGTGACTAAATGTGTCTGAAATATTACCTATCATGCATTTTGCTATATTTTACACGTTTGCAAATTTGTTCATGATCCGCTCTGTTTTCCGTTCTCTGTTTTGATTCTATGTTTGAATACTGGTTCGGTATTTACATCTGACCCAACCCTATGAAAAGTCACATGTTACATAATAAAACTGATGATAAAATTGAAGTTTCAATAAAATATTACAGAAAAAATGGACTTTTTACACTTGAGTTGCAGGGTCTTTAGAGAAAGCTTACAGACCCTTTGTTTGTATGTACTGGTATTATGCTTGGCGATTACATGTAGGAGCAATTATAGAGGTTGTAAATACGTGATGTTTGCTTGCAGCATTTATTTTATTTAACAATGGTTTAAATGTAAAGATACAGGTACGATATATAGATTGAAAGTAACGTCATATATGTATTTGCAAATAGATAAATAAATAAATAAAACACCAATTTAATGGTTTCTATTTTGATACGCTTCTTGTTGTCAATGGCGCGTATCTCCTCAATGACTGTGAAATGGTATAGACATAGTTTCCTCCTTTCCCATAACCAATGATAGTCTTATGGAACAATACTGCAGTAGAGAAATTGCCTCGCTCAACCATCCCTTGACTTTTATAAAGAAATCAAACGGTTGTGCTAACGAGGTTACAGTTATCTCCCTTATTTAAACGTACCATAAACCTTACTCTGGTGTTTCCCGCATTGACTTTATTTAAGTACGACAAGTAACGACTATATTCATTATTACAAGAATATATGTATTATTCATTAAAAATATTAGATTATCTGAAAGATGTTGGTGTGTATTATAGAATATGACCTACCATTTTGATATTCTCTGACAATATGGCCATTTGAGATTTTTAGCATTTGTCTTTTACCTTTTTGTTGTTTGTTTGATGTTAATTCCTTTTTGGATCGTTGTGTTTCGCCCCAATGACCTATTATGTGTTGACAGGCCGTTAAGACTGTAATGATAATCTGTTGTAACAAAACTACACGAACACTATAACACAGTAACACAGACGACACATTAACGTGGAATGACTCTGATTTTTTTAAAATTTGCTTTAATCATAGTGAAATAGATACACTATGCTGTATTATGTCTTGATACATGGAGACATGTCTAGGCCTTGTTTTACACTAAATCTATTTCGGTAATCATAACGCGACGCTCATTTAGGCTTTGTTTTTTTCATATGAATGAAGAGTTTTCAGCCATGTATTTAATGGAACGAATGGTTTCTAACTTTGTCCTGAAAAATCTGAAACTCGCGTGATTTTGATGTAAATTTTATTTAGTTCCTGTCGGCGTTTCCGTCTGGGGGTCATTCACGTCGACACGTCTATTTTCTCAACAATATGAAATATGTTTTTGAAAATTGTCAAAAGATTCTAATAATATAACTTTTAACCTGTAAACAAAGTGATAAACTCTGTACGTCTAACGATTCAAAGTCCACTAAGTTCACCGTTCCCGGCGAAACGCTACAGCTTTAGTTTGACCTCGTTCTGATTGGATCTGTAGATTTAACACTGCTCATATCTACATCAAGCCTACTAAAGACTGCAGACGACACAGGTAACTCGTTAAATACAACGTTTGCATGTGTTTAAAATGTTTGTATGTGTTAACCGGAATATTTTTCCTTTGTACTATTTCTAATATTGTGTTAACCATACACGGTTAGGACGTTTGGTGTTGACAGTGAATTAAGTTCGTAATTCTCCTTCAGTGTCACTGTATGTTCACTCGTGATATGTACATTTCCGCCAGAGTAAATACATGTGTGTGTGAATCGTATGTGTACCACAGTCATCCTTTGCCCAAGTGTAATTGTGTGTCTTTCTGTACATTTATATCAGTGTGTACCGGTGAATTAAAAAAATCAAAGTGAAAGGAGAAAAACTAAAAGGATTCTTGTTATTTCTTTTGATCAATTTATAAACTACAGTTTGCACAAAAATATGAAATGGCCTCCCCTCCCCACCCCCTCCCCCCATCCCCCACCTCCCCCACTAGAACTCAATTTGTGTACTAATATCAATAAACGCTATTGAATACGACATTTACTCAAGAAACGATCCCTTTAAAATGAGACAAATCGGTTATCTCATGGAGAATCGTCACTTTCAGCTTTAACACGTGGTGATAACTTGTCAACGAGACACCAGTATAGAGTGCAACGATGCTTGAAACAAGCACAAAAATCCTAGTAAATTGTCTGTGATTATTGTCAGGTGGCAAAGGAAAGAGTAGAATTTAGTGTTCCATGATCTATACCATTGGATCGAAAAGTTGTTCTAGTCAAAATTATACACACATTTAATAAAAAGAGTCGATTCTGCATCTGTAGTAACCCCAACTCCCACCTTACACACACCCCTTACTCGCAATACGTTATCGAAATGCTCATCCCTATACCCCCAACCCAAATATCCCCCTACTCCCTTTCTCCCTAATGTCTGTATATGTGTACAGCTCATATTATAGATCTTTCCTGTAAAATACTCAATTTCACATCAAAATGTGTTTATTGTAGGGAAAGCCGGAAACTGTGAGATGACAAAACAACAGGGAAATTAATTAAATGTAAAAATACAGTCAATATTGCAAGGGGGGTTGATGTTTGAACCAAACTTTTCAGGGTATTTCAATTAGGAAGAACTTTATTTCTTTTTAGATTTGAAAAAAAACATCTGTCTTTTTTATAACGGTATAATATAAGATATAAGAATAACCCTTTGACAATCTCTCTATTTTGGTAAACCCCCTCCTTTTAACATTATTTAAAACTTTAAAATTGCTGTTAAATATAAACATATATGCCTACGCGTGCGCCTCATTCGTTTTATCAATCTTACAGTTATCGTCATGTTCTTATATTTACGTTTCAAAAATCATATTTCCTTTTTTGGTTAAAATATTACTTGTTCTTGAATTTCATATTGTAAACGTTTTAAATCAAAACAAAACTGTGTGAGCGCCTTTTAATACAATACCTTGGCTAATTATAGATTTTGATATTATTTACAGATACATAAAGATGGATTTATCAGTGCTGGCACTATGTACCCTATTGTTGGGTTTGTGTCTGTGGAAGATGAATGATTTGATATATAGATATAAAACCTACATTGCTCTGTATACCTCTGACAAAGTGATCAGGTTTGGAAAGTTCCATCCTTTGTGGGGACATCTTCATCTGGTAAGTATCTAAAATTGTATAAATCTTTCAAAATATACTGAATATTTACAGCTTCACTGGCGTTTTTCGCCAATGTCATTGCTATTTTACTTTTTTTCTGATACACGAATCAACAGCAGTAACGTTAAATGTGAAGCAAGTTTTTGTTTAATTTAGGAACCATACAGTTTATCAAATCTGTACCTACAAGCAATTCTGTAAGTCAATGAAAATTTATGCAACAACCACCGTTATAATTTGATATGAGAAAATGACATGAATAATGATTATCGATCCAAACATTTGTTTGAAGCACAACGAAGTCAGATATTACCATTTATTTATTTATTGTATCTATTTATTTATTAGTTAATCCCTCTTACTAAATTCCATGAGTTGACTGTGAAAGGGATGCGGGAAACGGGGAGAAAAATAACCTGCTATTGGTTGTCTTTCCTTTATCCGATACTGGGCGTGTGTCATCCGGATACAGTCAAGATACTTTTAAAGTCAAGCGAACCAAAGAATAAACAGGCAGGGGGTGGCTACTTTACTCTACTTCCGTGGTTAGGTACGTATACGTGTCAGTCCTGGTCACGTTATTACAGTGTTTTGCGCTTTGATAAAGTCATTGCATTAATCTCTTTATTACACACGTGTAATATAATCTTTCTACCTTATGATTGGTTGATTCCGTGTAAATTGTTTTCGAATGCATGGAAACGACATATGTTTTTACTAAAAATGTAGTCAAAATGGCTGTTGCTCAGAGTACGACTCAAATTGGCCTCTCGACTCTGGATCTGTGGTGATAGCTCACATATCAATATCAACGCCCATACTAAAATCGGTTTTTTTTTTCGTTTTAACACATGTATTGGCATTTATGGCTGACCTATCACTGATTACTGAAACTGAGATAATTTTCCTAAGCCTTGAAAAATAGTTTTATCTACTATATAATGACTATACCTTGCTTAGTGAACAATGTTGTTCACACTAATTTCATAAAAATACTTAACAAATAAAAAAAAAAATGGTGATCAAAAATCGGTAGCTACATTGTATGCCAGGTTTTTGTGACATTTGGTAAATGAGGGGTCAAATAATTCAGTAGGATGTCTGCCTATGAACCTTGGACCTTTAAATGCCGAAACAAATCTGTTATGGTTATTGATGTTTTGTGATGTTCTAAACATCAGGTTGTTATGTCTAAGAATAGTGTTAGTATTTTGTGTGACCACGGCAATACGACACCGGTACAAAGAGCTTGTACATCGATGATGTGAGCCGAGATGGCGTTCTACTTCTCATACAAGGCTTACGCCATATAGCCAGTTCCTGTAAGTTTGGGGGCGAAGTTGGCCGACGCCGTACTCGTATTGTAAGAGTAGTCAAAATGTGCTGCATTCGGCTCAGTTAAGGGAATTTCGCATGCCAATCAAAACCATGTTCTGCTGTAAGAACATCCTGGTTACATGACTGGTGTGAGATGTTTCATTTTCATGCTGCAAAATGAACCTGGTGTTGTAATAAAAGGAACGGTGACTGGTACTGAAATTTCGTCCCAATATTTCATTGCAAATATATCCGATTTTCAACGGATATACCTCCCTAGAGCATCACACTTCTCCTACCAAATCACTTCGCCATACTCACTGCCTCCCATCATTGTACATCAAACATAGTCTCGATTCATCGGTGTACACAATGCTGTTCCTCCGCTGTAAGAGCCACCTTCGATGTCGTCCAGCCCAATCAAGGCGATTGGTGCGATAATGTCAATTTTAGACTGGGCCTATGTAAGACCCCTCGCACAAATTCGGCGACGCTTCAGCCTGTTAAAGAGACAGTCTGTCTTTTAAAAAATCGACCAAGCAACTCCTTGCTGTTACGGTAAGAGGAAGAAACGACCCCGGATATGCTGCGGCAGAAATAGACAGTCTTCACGTAGATTGGTTACTTGTGGTCGGCCGATCTTGGACGATGTATGTTGAACTAAAACTTTGCCATAAATTATATACTGTCCCTTGGCTACACCCTTACGGTTTTACAACCTCGTGTTGAAATGTGCCCACCCGAACCATGTCAGTAGCCCTTTCCTTTTTCTTCTTTCGACAGACGCGGTATTATGTTAATCTACGCAATTTAAAACCAAATGATGATTTTCAAGTGATAAAGGATTAGAGATTGTGCCTAATGAATTTTACGGAGTTCAACAGAACAAATTTCGGGTCAAGCCAAGGACTTTGTTTTGTTCTATAAGATTAATACAAAAACGATAAATAAGAAGATTCCTTCAAGACACATTAGCAACTGAACTAATATCGACAAGCTATTTTGTTTTTATTAGATAAGTATTGACGAAATACTTTCTGTAAGACCTTTCTGCCTTCTTCGGCTTCTCCAGAAAAAAGGCTTCGTTTTGTGTTTTTCTCATGGTTATACATTCGCAAGAATTTCTTGTTTTGATTTCATCTATTGTTTTAAATCGTATATCAATATCAGTCTATATAATTCGCTTTTTTGCTTTAAAAGACCATCAAATAACGGACACCGATACAAATTAACATCAGTGTCATAAATTACTGAAGTAAAAAGTGTCGGTGACAAATTTATACTCAGATCTATGTTTTTATAACAGGAGACGGGTTACTAATCAGTGATGGTAAGAAGTGGGAGAGGAACAGACGGTTGTTGACACCAGCATTTCATTTCGACGTTCTCAAACCTTATGTACCTATTTATAACCAAGTGTTCGACATCTTTCTGGTGAGTCTAACATTACATGTCACTTCTATTGATTTTACTTATTTATTTATTTATTTATTTATTATTTTAGTGTTATGATTTATACATTTTCTCTTTAATTGAGAAGATAAACATCTGCATGTGAGGTTTGATAGACATACTGATTAACGTATTGTAATCTCGTAATGTATCACAATATGGTCGATGTAAATGACACAACATTGCACTCTTCAACATCTTATATTTGAGATGGGCCTCTTGTTTTACGATCGCCTTTTGTTAGGCGTCGTCCATCGTACGTCGTCCGTCGTAAACATTTTCAACTTCTTCTCAAGTTCTACATGTCTGAATACACAGAACACCCAGGGTAATGATATTTGGCCTGTAGCATGCTGGGATGAAGGTTTACGAAGTTTGTTGAAATGAATAACCTTAACCCACTTTCAAGATAGTGACTTAGTGCCCTTGATTCTTAAATCCAGGTGAAATAAGTTCAAAATTTGAAATCTTGTATTATATGTCAGATGACCGTTAAGGCCCATCGGCCTCTTGTTTTAAATAGCATGTCGCTTCTATGATTTTTATCTAATTATTTTATTTAAGGATTAATCTTAATTATTTTTTCACGCTATTGAGTAATATCCACATAATTTTTGCCCACCAATGTTTGTGCATGACTTATGAAACATATTCAAAGAAATATGACTTCCATTGAAAAAACATTACTATACACAAAGTATACTAGATTTCTGCTTAACTGTATCGATCATTTTACTAAGGACAAGATTGAAAAGGCGACCAGTGGAGGACAGAGTACAGAGATTTATCACAGGGTTGGGTTGGCTACCTTGGATACTCTACTTCGATGTGCCGTGTCGTACGAGGACAATGTACAGGAACAGGGGTGAGTAGAGTTTGTATGAAGTTAAGTCTGTTTCCGCTTTATATCACGTTTCAATCTATATAACGATTCAGTTAATATATTGTTTCGCTTAATACTACAAACCATGGAGCAATACATTTTCGAACAATGATCATAGAATTTTTGCAACTAGATTCAATCGTGTATAAATGTATAACAAGGATGTATACCAAGCGTAGATAAATAAGTTTCTTAGTTTCTTCAAATGTCTGTTTTCAAAGATTTTATTTTAAAAGTTCTACAACATTTCTTCTTGAAAGGAAATTAAGATAAAATCGACATAGAATTTTATTTATTTACATTTTCCTCCACAGATCAAATCACCCTTATGTAAATGCTGTGCGGATACTTACCAACATTTCACTCAAGAGAATAATGTAAGATACATACTGTTCGACAAGGACTTATTGTGGCCAAAGGGAGACTACTGGCGGTATAAGTGTATCGTTCACGCTCAGAGTGCATTTACGTGAATTTTGTATCTAGTGTCTAATAAAAAAAAATATTTATTTCTAGTAGATTAATTTTTGTTTGCCACTGGATACTTGAAGAATGCACCAAGAAATTATGTGATATTGATCATGTGGCTGAATTAAAACATGTTTTGCTGAAATTCGCTTCTTTTCAAATTCGAGAAATAGAGATATAGAAGTCAAGTTTGTTTTAGGAGTAATAAGAAATTAAGACATTAATCCAGTCAGGGCTATTGAAAAGACATTAGTGTCTAAAAGTTACAACATAGCTGAATTGCTAACGTCTAGGGGAGGGAGGTGAAACTTGAGGGATGGTATTAGTAAATATAACAAAACGTTATACTGTACATTAGATTTCTGATAATAATGGTAGAATTTTCTCTCAAATAGCTATTACGTTTCCTTTAGTAAATTCACAATTGATATAAAATGTGCTTCAGAAAGCAAAATTATTTAGTAAGATATTATGTAGTCACGGCAATTCCTGGCGAATAACTACCGGGTTCGTTTGAAGAATAATTTTATTTTGTGCACATAAAATATATTGGTTTTTTTCTTACTCAGGGAACCTTGGTTACACCCAGACATAGTATTCAATATGTCATCACATGGAAAGAAGTATCATAAAAGTGCGAAGTATGTACACGACTTCGACGAAAGAGTCATTCGAGAAAGAAAACAGGCATTGGTAGGCTATGTATTTATTTATCTATTTACTGAAATAAAAAATGCCATAAAATATTAACTCGATCCGTTACATAGGACGCATTGTTTGTCGTGCAGAAATGACAAAATATCAAAGTAGAATAAGCTTTTTTGAAATTAGGTGTCTTTTTAGAATAATCCGTACAAAAGTTATCAGTACTTTCCTCTGTGGGTACACTGTATCTTTGTTATTGATATTTACAATACATACATGTATCGATTGATTGAATATTGATTTAATTATCTACTTTTTATGTGGTTTTATGTATCGTTTCTTTTGATTTGAGTGACAGGGATAAGTCAAACAGAACTACGAAAGCTTAGATTTCCCCTCTACCACCAGTTATTGTTCAGTACATATATCGTCGATTTATCACAATTGAATAATTAGATTGATGGGTTCGATTGATCGTTTGTCGTGACATCTTTATATTGTGATTTTATGATAAAACATGTCCTCGCCATGATGCCCCTTTAACCTCGTCATTAGTCCAGCTTGCTAAAATAGTTAAATTGGTATTTATTTCATTTATTTTATCTATTTTTGCTGTGGGTAGGAGGCCGACATGTCAGTGTTGACGAAGCGACGACGGGACTTTCTAGACATTCTGTTGACCGCTCGAGATGAGCACGGCGTTGGACTGACCGATCGTGAGGTCAGGGACGAGGTCGATACCTTCCTCTTTGAAGGTAAGTACAGGTGTAGTGTAACATATTGATTATTTGCTGACAATACGCTCGTGCATTTTTAGTAAATTGAATGAAGATATGGTCACAAACCTTGTGAAAATTGAAATACGGATAGATTGTGCATGAAACATATCGCTATTTTAAAATTTTCTTTATTCTACATTTCAGAATATTTCATTGTTATTTGAAGTTGTCAAATCTTTTTTTTTTTTTTTTTTTTTGTTGGAGATAAGCTTGTGATGTTATATTCTAAAATTGAAATTGGTGAAAATAGAACCCAGTTCAGAATATAGACATGTACATGACGTTCTAATTCTGAATCATAAGAAACTCGTGTCTTTTTAAGTAATCTTTGGGATAGTAGGTGGTAGACATTGCTACTGGACTTTTAGTCTCGGGGTGTGTTGTAACCATCACGTCTAGTTTGTTTGTTATTCAAATCGTGACACGGTCCAGAATACACATACGACGTTCTTTTGAAATTATCAGACAAACGAAAATTACTGAAATGAATTTATTGAATTGTGGTGCTCGTGCACCTCTTTGTCTGAATGACATTTTCTTATTTCTAATTTTCGTCAGTCGCTTTCTAATTTTCAAACATTAAGCAAATAAAATCAATGACGAGTCCTAGAAGGATGAAACAGCTATATGATGCAGTTTAATTAATGGCTTGTCGCTACTGTATGTAGGTCTTAATTCTGTCAAAATATGCTATTTGCTTGTGTCTTTTTAAAATTTTTTCTCATTACTAGGAGGATAATTTCATTTAAATAAATATAGGGGTCTGAAACCACTAAATGATTTCTAGATTGTTTTCCATTTCGCACAGTTAGGTTAATGACGCTCCACAAGATTTGATATACATGCTGTAGAACACTAAATCTGAGAGCGTAATTTCTTCCCAAAGCTTGTCAAACATTCAGCTAAGATCCATTTTAAGAAAAAAATGTGCCAAGAAAGATATTATACATCTACATAGTCTAGACAGAAGAGGTAAAAATATTTGTATTTTTTCTGATATCATATCTAGGACATGATACAACAGCTTCGTCTCTAAGTTGGGCCATTTACTCGTTGTCAAAGAACCCAGAGGATCAAGAGAAAGTCTACGAGGAAGTAAAACGAGTTCTCGGTGACAGGACAGATGTTGACTGGTAAGTGTACCGTACCCACTATTACCATAACTGACTATGCGCAACCCAAAGTGTACCGAGTGTTGAAGATAAGTTTTTGATACTATGTTAGTAGTGTATTAACATGTGCAAGTGAAGTTTGTGGATTCCATAAAGCCATCGATGTTGAATAAGTACATTCACATTTTTGTAAAAGGATTTTAGGTGTTGCGAAAGGCACATATGATTTAGTTTATTTTGAATTAGGTAGATTACCAATGTATATTGTCAGAAAATTGAAAATAATGAAATACTGGACTAAAATCAAATATACAGATAATTGTGTGTTGAAAGCATGCTATGAACGAAGACTATTAGATAACGATGAGTGGTCTGTAAATATTAAGTTAGAACTAGATAAATTAGGATTAGGGTACTTATGGAACAGCAGTCTTGACAGAAAACTAGTATACAAGTTAATTGAGAGTAAGTTTCAAGAAATTCATATTCAAGAAGTGTTGTGCAACATTTGAAATTCTCCAAAATGTTATTTATATCAACATTTGATAGACAATTTTTGGCTGCAGTATTATTCTTAGGAAACCTATTGACTATCGATTCAAGAAATGTATATCAAAAATAAGATTGTCATCACACAAGCTCAATATTGAAAGTGGTAGATATAGGAATGTATCAAGAGAAAATAGTGGCTGCACATTATGTAATAATAGAGATATTGAAGACGAATTTCATTTTATTTTAAAATGTCCCTTTTATGTTGATCTCCGATCTGAATATTTGAAATCATTTTTTTTCGCAGATCTAGTGTGTTCGAATTAATTCAGCTTCTGTGTATAAACATTGTGAAGGAGTTAAATAACCACGGAAAATGTATTCGTTATGCACTTAAACGGCGATCTCATATATTATAGGCATATTATAAGCAAAACATTATTAATTAGATTTGATTTGTAAAACGTTAACTTTTTCATACACAACATTTTTCACTTTCATTGACTGATGATAATTCTGACGAACTAGAACACACACAAAAACAGAGCAAAAAAGGATATTGTAAACTTGCTGAATATAGCGAAATCAAATTTTAGCGCAATGCCTACGCCGTAAGAGCACATATATACAGTCACCGCTGAAAAATATATGGAATCAAATTTCAAAACACTTTCCCTTAGATTTGTCAGGAAAATTTTAAAAAAAGTAGAAAAAAGAAACAAAAATAATATGAAAACGGTCTTTCCGTTTGATAGGTCTGATATCAAAGAGTTTTCTCAACTGACCTTATTCCTGAAGGAGTCCATGCGCATGTTTTCCCCAGTACCATCAGTTGGTAGAATCACAACTAAAGAAATAGACCTTGACGGTCTCAAAGTTCCCGCCAATATGGAGATATATGTGTTGATATATGCACTCAACCATCGACAGGATATATGGGGAGATCCCGAGGTATGTGATGTTTTCCATAGTTTTGCAGAACGTTTTAGCCGGTGTTGGCCTTCAAACTAAATGAAGCTTACTTAGGTGAAATGCATTTTTTCTCGGAAAGATTTAAGTCAGATTGCAAATTCATATTGATCAGGAATTAAACTTTATCAGATTAGATGTTTCTCCCTATGTTCTGTAATTTGGAATATTTGACATTCATGTAGTTTCTCTGAATATGAACGTAAGTGCTTGCAATTTCCACTTCAAGGAAATTCTTGCTCCGTGGTCTTTAATGATTGGAAAGTATGTTTTTACATCATTTATTTTGTATTACAAGGGTATGGTGTTTGTTGGTCAGTTATGAATAATAAGAGCCATAACTTACTGAAAAATGCCTTTAAGAAACCAATGCCATGTCTGCAGCAAGTGACTTCAAATATTTGATTTATTCGTATACACAACAAAAAACAAGGAATCTCTATTGTAATATGTATTATAAGTTTTCTTGTTCATGGCATTTCATTGACTTGAGGAATGTTCATCTTCATAGATGAAGCTTTTTAACTCTGCCTTCTAAATAAAGAAAAATAGGTGTTACCTCAGTCACCTCATAATCTTCAAATTTTAGGCTCTTAGCATTACTGACGAGTCTTATAAGGACGAATCAGCTGTATAATACTGTTCACGTTATAGTTGGACTCTACCCAGTCCAATTTTAAAGTTGTATCAAAAGGCGCTATTCACTTGTGTGTCTTTTGTACAATCTTCCAGAGGTTCAGACCTGATCGATTTTCAAACGATGCTGAAAAAGATCCATACAGTTACGTGCCTTTCTCTGCTGGCCCAAGGTATGATTGTGTTTTGGTAATTTACTATCTTTGACTGGATAATTTAAATTTGCGGTATTCAAAAGTTTAATATGTTAATTTGATGTTAATACTGGAATAACGCCTAACTTCTGTTTATAAATAAAATAGATCACGGAAAATTTTCTGTTGAATGTTATACAACAGGTGATTGATATAAATGGCATTTCTTTTACCCAAATTGATGAGATTTTTTTGAAGTCACCGAAAACACAAACTTTAGCAATTGTTTTTGTAACCTTTGAAAATTACTGGATAGAACAAATACCATATACACCAACCAAAAAGTGTGTGACGTGTTTCTATCGTAATAATGAAACTACATGTATTCCTTCGTTGTACCTGTTCTGTACCATCTGTACCTGTTCTGTAACTGTTTTGTACCACTTGTACCTGTACCTGTTCTGTACCACCTGTACCTGTTCTGTACCACCTGTACATGTACCTGTTCTGTACCACCTGTACCTGTTCTGTATCACCTGTACATGTTCTCTACCACCTGTACATGTACATGTTCTGTACCACCTGTACCTGTTCTGTACCAACTTTACCTGTTCTGTACCAACTGTACCTGTTCTGTACCTGTTTTGTGCTACCTGAACCTGTCCTGTACCACCTATACCTGAACCTGTTCTGTACCACCTGTACCTCTTCTGTACCACCTGCACCTGTACCTATTCTGTACCTGATCTGTATCACCTGTACCTGTTCTGTACCACCTGTACCTTTTCTGTACCAACTGTACCTGTTCTGTACCACCTATACCTGTTTTATACCACCTGTACCTGTTCTGTACCACCTGTACCTGAACCTGTTCTGTACCACCTGTACCAGTTCTGTACCACCTGTACCTGAACCTGTCCTGTACCACCTGTACCTGTTCTGTACCACCTGTACCTGAACCTGTCATGTACCATCTGTACCTGAACCTGTCCTGTACCACCTGTACCTGAACCTGTCCTGTACCACCTGTACCTGTTCTGTACCACATGTACCTGTTTTATACCACCTGTACCTGAACCTGTCCTGTACCACCTGTTAACCAATCAGATCACGTTAGCAGTTTTTTCCACTTGTGGTCAATAGTTTGTTTTTGCAATAATTTTAACAATTGATTGACGGCTCGGGAGTTCGATTTCTCGCCTGTTGTGGAAGAAAAAGAAGTTAGTAAACATACAGAAAAAGTTGTTGTACATAAGTTAGGACATAATGTTAAAATGATATGACTGGTATTGAAATCCTTGAAATCAAAATGACAACGTAGCAATTTCAGAAATATGTAAGTAATTTGGGGATTTCTAATCATCCAGGCAATAAATTGATAAACCCGTGTTAAAATATTCTTACCACAAAAGGATTGTGAGCTTGAAATGTGTGTCTTAGTTTCCGTGAGTGAATGAAGCGCAGTTCCATTCAAAGTTCAACGTGCCAGCCAAAAGGAAACCTGGTGTCTTGGAAGTTCAATAACACTCGCCTAAAGGAATAGAACTGTTCTGAAATTACAATCTCTTCAACACAGCTGATGCCATATCAATTTCTGTTGAACAATCATTCACATCAACATGAAAATGAAGCTGATAATTTTGGATGCTACCAGCGTACCAAGCTATATACTGATGCCCATGAATGTTAATTCCGATTTCCATTTCAGAAATCAGTCGAACCACGGGCGTCAAAGAAATAAGTACACTGTCGTTTGTCAGGAGAATAAGTAAAATTCATAAAGGCGTTAATTGAATATGAAATTCATGTTTAAAATGGTGTGTATTTCTTTGATGTCTATTTACAGAAACTGTATTGGTCAACATTTCGCACTTAATGAACAAAAGGTTGCCCTTGCAAAATTACTTCAAAGGTAAATATCATTAAGTATAGTGCACATTTAGTCTCCAAAATTTCGACATCTCGGCAAAATTTAAATGTTTTGTAACCTCACCATAGAAAAAATATAGAATTACATCAGATAATTACCTGTGTTATATGTTACATTGGTTTTGTTTCAGATTTAAAGTATTGCCAGACCCCGACCACCAACCGGAAATAGATCTTGATCTTGTTCTGCGGTCTACAAACGGAATACGTATAAAGTTACAGAGAAGATAAAGTGTACTTCCGGGTGATCGTCATGTCGTATTCCTTGGTGATAAGTGATGTGGGTGATCGTCATGTCGTATTGCTTGGTGATAAGTGATGTGGGTGATCGTCATGTCGTATTGCTTGGTGACAAGTGATGTGGGTGATCGTCATGTCGTATTGCTTGGTGACAAGTGATGTGGATGATCATCATGTCGTATTGCTTGGTGACAAGTGATGTGGGTGATCGTCATGTCGTATTGCTTGGTGACAAGTGATGTGGATGATCGTCATGTCGTATTGCTTGGTGATAAATTATATGGGTGATCGTCATGTCTTATTGCTTGATGACAAGTGATGTGGGTGATTGTCATGTCGTATTGCTTGGTGACAAGTGATGTGGGTGATCGTCATGTCGTATTGCTTGGTGACAAGTGATGTGGGTGATCGTCATGTCGTATTGCTTGGTGATAAATTATGTGGGTGATCGTCATGTCGTATTGCTTGATGACAAGTGATGTGGGTGATGGTCATGTCGTATTGCTTGGTGACAAGTGATGTGGGTGATCGTCATGTCGTATAGCTTGGTGACAAGTGATGTGAGTTATCGTCATGTCGTATTGTTTGGTGACAAGTGATGTGAGTGATCGTCATGTCGTATTGCTTGGTGACAAGTGATGTGGGTGATCGTCATGTCATATTGCTTGGTGACAAGTGATGTGAGTGATCGTCATGTCGTATTGCTTGGTGACAAGTGATGTGGGTGATCGTCATGTCATATTGCTTGGTGACGTTGGTGATCGTCATGCCGTATTACTTGGTTACAAGTGATGTGGGTGATCGTCATGTCGTATTGCTTGGTGACAAGTGTGTGTGTTAAGGATCTAAAGTCTGACATCAAACCCTCATATCTGCCTTGGAAGACATGAACAAAGTGACTGTAAACGTTTCAATGTTAGCAATATGCAGACACTCTCATTATCTTACGATAATGAATATCAACAACACCACGTATAATGTCACCACGTACAAAAAAATAGATATGTAAATATATAAAAACATTGAATAAATCAATAAATCGTTAAATGAATAAAATACAGTCTTTCTGACAATTATCCCTGAATGGAAATCTCACAAACACTGCCTTTGTAGGCATGGTAAAGCTTTTGTTTACACTTGATTACATTTTCAAATGCGTTTTCAGATATTCATGGCAAACATTTTGGAAATATGCAAATGAATGTCAGCACACCTATATATTTATAGGACAAAAATGGGTCTAAATGATTGTCTTTAAAAATATTCTTTTCAGGTCGAGATTTGCTAGACTGAAATGTATTTTTTTCTTTAATTGGTTTATCAGATATATTTGATATAAGATTGGATAGATGCGGAGTTATTGATTCGCCGTGTGCTTGTTACCGGTCATAAGTATCATCATTTCAACGGGGCTTTCGGCTATTTGAGCAACAATGTAAATTTGGTCGTTACACAATGACTTGGCTATACTTGACTATTACACAACACATTTATCTTCTATGATAACTTCATGCTTATTTCAGCACTCTAGTTAACTGGATTTAATTATTGAACTTCAGACACCAAAATGAAAAGCATCTCCGAATACTTATATCTAAAATCAGATTAGCATTGCCAAAACGGTACAGACGAAATGTGTCTGAAATATTGTTTATCGTGCATTTTGCTATATTTTACACGTTTGCAAATTTGTTCATGATCCGCTCTGTTTTCCGTTCTCTGTTTTGATTCTATGTTTGAATACTGGTTCGGTATTTACATCTGCCACAACCCTACGAAAATTCACATGTTACATAATAACACTGATGAAAAATTGAAGTTTCAATAAAATATTGCAGAAAAAATGAACTTTTTACACTTGAGTGGCAGGGTCTTTAGCTAAAGCTTACAGATCCCTTTGCTTGTATGTACTGGTATTATGCTTGGCGATTACATGTAGGATTGTGCAGAAGCAATTATAGAGGTTGTAAATACGTGATGTTTGCTTGCATCATTTATTTTATATAGCAATGGTTTAAATGTAAATATACAGGTACGATATATATATTTTAAGTAACCTCATATATGTATTTGCAAATAAATAAATAAAACACCAATTTAATGGTTTCTATTTGGTTACAGTTATCTCCCTTATTTAAACGTACCATAAACCTTGGTGTGGTGTATCCCGCATTGATTTATTTAATCACAAGGAACGACTATATTCATTATTACAAGAATATATGTATTATTCATTAAAAAGTTTAGATCATCTGAAAGATGTTGGTGTATATTATAGAATATGACTTATCATTTTGATCTTTTCTGACAATATGACCATTTGAGATTTTTATACTATAATGATAATATTTTTTAACAAAACTACACGAACAATACCACACAGTAACACAGACGAAAATACGCCACAAAGATTAAAATATCAACACTAAAATTAACATTCATATTTCCATTATCGTGGAATGACTCTAATTATTTAATTTGCTTTAATCACAATTGTCATAGATACACTATGCTGTATTATGTCTTGATACATGAAGACATATCTAGGCCTTGTTTTACACTAAATCTATTTCGGTAATCATAACGTAACGCTCATTTAGGTTTTTTTTTTTTTTTTTCATTTAAATGAAGAGTTTTCAGTCATTTACTTAATGGAACAAGTGGTTTCTAACTTTGTCCTGAAAAATCTGAAACTCGCGTGATTTTGATGTAAATTTGATTTAGTTCCTGTCGGCGTTTCCGTCTGGGGGTCATTCACGTCGACACGTCTATTTTCTCAACAATATGAAATATGTTTTTGAAAATTGTCAAAAGATTCTAATAATATAACTTTTAACCTGTAAACAAACTGATAAACTCTGTACGTCTAACGATTCAAAGTCCACTAAGTTCACCGTTCCCGGCGAAACGCTACAGCTTTAGTTTGACCTCGTTCTGATTGGATCTGTAGATTTAACACTGCTCATATCTACATCAAGCCTACTAAAGACTGCAGACAACACAGATAACTCGTTAAATACAACGTTTGCATGTGTTTAAAATGTTTGTATGTGTTAACCGGAATATCTTTCCTTTGTACTATTTCTAATATTGTGTTAACCATACACGGTTAGGACGTTTGGTGTTGACAGTGAATTAAGTTCGTAATTCTCCTTCAGTGTCACTGTATGTTCACTCGTGATATGTACATTTCCGCCAGAGTAAATACATGTGTGTGTGAATCGTATGTGTACCACAGTCACCCTTTGCCCAAGTGTAATTGTGTGTCGTATATTAAAGTCTTTCTGTACATCTATATCAGTGTGTTCCGGTGAATTAAAAAATTCAAAGTGAAAGGGGAAAAACTAAAAGGATTTTTTAAATCAATTTATAAACTACAGTTTGCACAAAAATATGAATGGGCTCCCCACCCCCCCCCCTCCCCACTAGTACTCAATTTGTGTACTAATATTAATAAACGCTACTGAATACGACATTTACTCAAGAAACGATCCCTGTCTGTGATTATTGTCATGTGGCAAAGGAAAGAGAAGGATTTAGTGTTTCATGATCTATACCATTGGTTCGAAAAGTTGCTCTAGTCAAAAATTTACTCACATTTAACAAAAAGAGTCGATTCTGCATTTGTGGTAACCCCATCCCCCACCCCAAACTCCCACCTCATCCCCCCTTACTCATTATCGAAATGCTCACCCCCGCATCCCCAACCCAACCATTCCCCTACTCCCTTTCTAAAGTCTGTATATTTGTACAGCACATATCATAAATCTTTCCTGTATAATACTCAATTTCACATCAAAATGTGTTTATTGTCGAGAAAGCCGGAATCTGAGAGATGACAACACTACAGGGAAATTAATTAAATGTAAAATACAGTCAATATTGCAAGGGCGGAGAGAGTTTGATGTTTGAACCAAACTTTTTCAGAATATATCAATTAGGAAGAACTGCTCTTATTTCTTGATAGATTTGAAAAAAACATCTGTCTCTTTTTATTACAGTATTACACAAGATATAAGAATAACCCTTTGATAATCTTTCTTTTTTCTTTACCCCCCCCCCTAACTGTCCTATGTGATGGCAAGATGAAAAATATAAACATGTATGCCTACGCGTGCGCCTCATTCGTTTTATCAATCTTAAATGCATCTTCATATTCTTATATTTTGACGTTTCAAAAATCATTTCTCCTTTTTTGGTTAAAATATTATTTGTTCTTGAATTTCATATTGTAAACTTTTTAAATCAAAACAAAACTGTGTGAGCGCCTTTTAATACAATACCTTGGCTAATTATAGATTTTTATATAATTTACAGATAAATAAAGATGGATTTATCAGTGCTGGCACTATGTACCCTGCTGTTGGGTTTGTGTCTGTGGAAGATGAATGGTTTGATATATAAATATAAAACCTATATTGCTCTGTATACCTCTGACAAAGTGATCAGGTTTGGAAAGTTCCATCCTTTGTGGGGACATCTTCATCTGGTAAGTATCTAAAATTTCATAAATCTTTCAAACATATACAGAAAATTTACAGCTTCACTGGCGTTTTTCGCCGATGTCATTGCTATTTTACTTTTTTCTGATACACGAATCAACAGCAGTAACGTAAAATATGAAGCAAGTTTTTGTTTAATTTAGGAAACCATTCAGTTTATCAAATCCGTACCTACAAGCAATTCTGTAAGTCAATGAAAATTAATGCAACAAACAGCGTCATCATTTTATTTGAGAAAAAGACATGAATAATGATCCGATCTAAACATTTGTTTGAAGCACAACGAAGTCAGATATTACAGTTTATTTATTTATTTATTTATTTATTTGTTTATTTATTAGTTAATCCCTCTTACTAATTACAAAGAGTTGACTGTGAAAGGGATGCGGGAAACGGGGAGAAAAATAACCTGCTTTTGGTTGTCTTTCCTTCGTCCGGTACTGGGCGTGTGTCATCCGGATACAGTCAAGATACTTTTAAAGTCAAGCGAACCAAAGAATAAACAGGCAGGGGGTGGCTACTTTACTCTACTTTCGTGGTTAGGTACGTATACATGTCAGTCCTGGTCACGTTAATTCAGTGTTTTGCGCTTTGATAAAGTCATTGCATTAATTTCCTTATCGCAAACGTGTAATATAATCTATCTGTCTTATGATTGGTTGACTCCGTGTAAATTGTTTTCGAATGCATGGGAACGACTGACGTTTTTACTAAAAAATGTAATAAAAATGGCTGTTGCTCAGAGTACGGCTCAAACTGGTCTCTTGACTCTGGACCTGTGGTGATACTTCCCATATCAATATAAGCGCCCATAATAAAATCGGGATTTTTTCATTTTGACACATGTATCGGCATTTATGGTTGACCTATCACTAATTACTTTCCTAAAAACTGAGATAATTTGCTTAAGCCTTGGAGAATTGTTTTGTCAACTATATAGTGATAATACAATGTCTTTCGAACTAGTCTCATAAATGTACTTAACAAATAAAAAAAAATGCGGTAGCTACATTGAATGTCAGGTTTTTGTGACATTTGGTAAATGAGGGGTCAAATGACTCAGTAGGATGTCTGCTCATGAACCGTGGACCTGTGATATTCTAAACATAAGGTTGTTATGTCTAAGAATGGTGTTAGTAACTTGTGTGACCACAGCGATACAACACCAGTACAAAGAGCTTGTACATCGTCGAATGATGTGAGCCGGGATGGCGTTCTACTTCTCATACAAGGCTTACGCCATATAGCCAGTTCCTGTAAGTTTGAGGGCGAAGTTGGCCGACGCCGTACTCGTCTTGTAAGAGTAGTCAAAATGTGCTCAGATCAGATCAGGGAATTTAGCATGCCAATCCAATACTTGGAGCTTTTTCTGCTGTAAGAACATCCTAGTCACGTGAATGGTGTGAGATGTTTCATTTTCATGCTGAAAAATGAACCCAGCTCCTTGGTGTGGTAATATAAAGAACGGTGACGGGCGCTAAATTTTTGTCCCAATACTTCACTGCAAATTTTCAAGTGATAAAGGATTAGAGTTAGCGCATAAAGGATTTTACGGAGGAGATACGAAATTAAGACATTATACCAGTCAGGGCCACTGTAAAGACAATGGTGTCTAAAATTACCATATAGCTGAATTGCTAACGTCTAGGGGAGGGAGGTGAAACTTCAGGGATGGTATTAGTAAAAATAACAAAACGTTATACAGTACTTTATATGTTTTGATAATAATGGTAGAATTTTCTCTCAAATAGCTATCACATTTACTTTAGTAAATTCACAACTGATATAAAATAGAATAATCCGTACAAAAGTTATCAGTGCTTTCCTCTGTGGGTACACTGTATCTCTGTTATTGATATTTACAGTACACACATTTTTCTTACTCAGGGAACCTTGGTTACACCCCGACATAGTATTCAATATGTCATCACATGGAAAGAAGTATCATAAAAGTGTGAAGTATGTACACGACTTCGACGTACGACGTACGACTTCTATTTACTGAAATACAAAATGCCATAAAATATTAAATCGATCCGTTACATTGGACGCACTGTTTGTCTTGCAGAAATGACAAAGTATCAATTTAGAGTTTTTTTTTAAAATTAGGTGTCTTTTCAGAATAATCCGTACAAAAGTTATCAGTGTTTTCCTCTGTGGGTACACTGTATCTCTGTTATTGATATTTACAGTACACACATGCATCGATTGATTGAATATTGATTATTTATCTACTTTTTATGTGGTTTTATGTATAGTTTCTTTTGATTTGAGTGACAGGGATAAGTCAAACAGAACTACGAAAGCTCAGATTTCCCCTCTACCACGAGTTATCGTTCAATACATATATCCTCGATTTATCTCAACGTAATGATTAAATAGATGGGTTCGATTAATCATTTTTCGTTACGTCTTTATAATGTGATTTTATGATAAAGCATCATGTCGAAAAAGACCGTATTTATGTGCCGTTGTTGTTGCTATGTATGGAGAGATTTCCCAGATATACTGCAAACTGGAAGGTCAAACTAGACATCAATCTGACTGAAAAGTAAGCAATACAATATTATCGTATTATTGGAGATAAATAAAGTATCACGTGTGATTCAGTTTGTAAAAAATGTCCTCGCCATGATGCTTTAACCTCGTCATTAGAACAGCTTGCTAAAATAGTTAAATTGGTATTTATTTCATTCATTTTATCTATTTTTGCTGTGGGTAGGAGGCCGACATGTCAGTGTTGACGAAGCGACGACGGGACTTTCTAGACATTCTGTTGACCGCTCGAGATGAGCACGGCATTGGACTGACCGATCGTGAGGTCAGGGACGAGGTCGATACCTTCCTCTTTGAAGGTAAGTACAAGTGTACTGTAATATATTGATTATTTGCTGACAATACGCTCGTGCATTTATAGTAAATTTAATGAAAAGAAGATCACAAACATTGTGTAGATTGAAATACGGATAGACTGCGCTTGAAACATATAGCTATTTGTAAGTTTTCTTTATTCTACATTTCAGAATATTTCATTGTTGTCTGATGTTGTCAAATCTGTTCTTTTGTTGGTGATACACTTGCAATGTTATATTCTAAAATTGAAAATAGAACCAAGTTCAGAATATACACATGTACATGACATTCTAATTCTGAATTGTAAGAAACTTTTGAGTAATCTTTGGGATAGCAGGTGATAGATATTGCTACTGGACTTTTAGTCTCGGGATGTGTTGTAACCATCACGCCTAGTTTGTTTGTTATTCAAATCGTGACACGTCCCAGAATATACATACGACGTTCTTTTGAAATTATCAGACAAACGAAAATTACTGAAATTAATTTATCGAATTGTGGTGCTCGTGCACCTCTCTGTTTGAATAACATTTTCTTATTTCAAATTTTCGTCAGTCGCTTTCTAATTTTCAAACATTGAGCACATAACATCACTGACGAGTCCTAGAAGGATGAAATAGCTATATGATGTAGTTTAATTAATGACTTGTCTCTACTGTATCTAGGTCTTAATTCTGTTAAAAGATGATATTCGCTTGTGTCTTTTCCATAATCTTTGTCGTAACTAGGAGGATAATTTCATTTAAATAAATATAGGGGTCTGCAACTACTCATTGATTTCTAGTTATTTTTTCCATTCCGGACAATTATGTTAATGACGCTCACAAGATTTGATATACACGTCACAGAACACTTAATCTGAGAGCTTATTTTCCTCCACAGCTAGTCAAACATTAGGAAAAATAACAAGACCGATTAACATAAACTTATGCTTGTTAAATGTACTTTGTATGTACTTAATACGTACATACATACATTCCACATATGCAACAAAAGTGATCAAATGAGATCCATATTAAGAAAAAAATGTGTCAAGAAAGATATTATACATCTACATAGTCTAGACAGAAGAGGTAAAAATATTTGTATTTTTTCTGATATCATATCTAGGACATGATACAACAGCTTCGTCTCTAAGTTGGGCCATTTACTCGTTGTCAAAGAACCCAGAAGAGCAAGAGAAAGTCTACGAGGAAGTAAAACGAGTTCTCGGTGACAGGACAGATGTTGACTGGTAAGTGTACCGTACCCACTATTACCATAACTGACTATGCGCAACCCAAAATGTTGAAGATGTTATGGTGGTATTGAAGCCAATGACGTATGTACACAGTTCATGTAAATCAGTTATACTTTGTAGATCATCCCGCCGTAAAATCAGATAGACTGGTTATTAAAACACCACAGTTATACCATTCTTGTCATATGTAAGTGTTTTGTTATTAATTTGTGATGTAGGTGTATGCAGGTACAATGTCACAGATTTGATTTTCGCTCTAGATGTTTTGAAGCAACAAATACTCTAATTAATTTTAATTAAAAAAAAACGCCTGAAGATCAGTGGTTTAAAGACGAATTAGAACACACACAAAAACAGAGCAAAAAAGGATATTGTAAACTTGCTTAATTTAGCGAAATCAAATTTTAGCGCAATACCTACGCCGTAAGAGCGCATATATACAGTCACCGCTGAAAAATATATAGAATCAAATTTCAAAACACTTTTCCTTAGATTTGTTAGGAAAATTAAAAAAAAAAGTAGAAAAAAGAAACAAAACGATGATATCATAATATGAAAACGTTCTTTCCGTTTGATAGGTCTGATATCAAAGAGTTTTCTCAACTGACCTTATTTCTGAAGGAGTCCATGCGCATGTTTTCCCCAGTACCATCAGTTGGTAGAATCACAACTAAAGAAATAGACCTTGACGGTCTCAAAGTTCCCGCCAATATGGAGATATATGTGTTGATATATGCACTCAACCATCGTCAGGATATATGGGGAGATCCCGAGGTATGTGATGTTTTCCAAAAACAGAACGTTTTAGCCGGTGTTGGCCTTCAAACTAAATGAAGCTTACTTAGGTGAAATGCATTTTTTCTCGGAAAGATTTAAGTCAGATTGCAAATTCATATTGATCAGGAATTAAACTTTATCAGATTAGATGTTTCTCCCTATGTTCTGTAATTTGGAATATTTGACATTCATGTAGTTTCTCTGAATATGAACGTAAGTGCTTGCAATTTCCACTTCAAGGAAATTCTTGCTCCGTGGTCTTTAATGATTGGAAAGTATGTTTTTACATCATTTATTTTGTATTACAAGGGTATGGTGTTTGTTGGTCAGTTATGAATAATAAGAGCCACAACTTACTGAAAAATGTCTTTAAGAAACCAATGCCATGTCTGCAGCAAGTGACTTCAAATATCTGATTTATTCGTATACACAACAAAAAACAAGGAATCTCTGTTGTAATATGTATTATAAGTTTTCTTGTTCATGGCATTTCATTGACTTGAGGATGTGTTACCTGAGTCGCCTCATAATCTTCAAATTTTAGGCTCTTAGCATTACTGACGAGTCTTTTAAGGACGAATCAGCTGTATGATGCTGTTTACGTTATTGTTAGACTCTACCGAGTCCAATTTTAAAGTTGTATCAAAAGATGTTATTCACTTGTGTGTCTTTTGTACAATCTTTCAGAGGTTCAGACCTGATCGATTTTCAAACGATGCTGAAAAAGATCCATACAGTTACGTGCCTTTCTCTGCTGGCCCAAGGTATGATTGTGTTTTGGTAATTTACTATCTTTGACTGGATAATTTAAATTTGCGGTATTCAAAAGGAACTTTAATATGTTAATTTGATGTTAATACTGGAATAACGCCTAACTTCTGTTTATAAATAAAATATATCACGGAAAATTTTCTGTTGAATGTTATACAACAGGTGATTGATACATATGGCATTTATTTGTTTTTTAAGTCACCGAAAACACAAACTTTAGCAATTATTTTTTTAACCTTTGAAAAATTACTGGATAGAACAAATACCATATACAACAACCACAAAGTGTGTGACGTGTTTCTATCGTAATAATGAAACTACATGTATTCCTTCGTTGTACCTGTTCTGTACCATCTGTACCTGTTCTGTAACTGTTTTGTACCACTTGTACCTGTACCTGTTCTGTACCACCTGTACCTGTTCTGTACCACCTGTACATGTACCTGTTCTGTACCACCTGTACCTGTTCTGTATCACCTGTACATGTTCTTTACCACCTGTACATGTACATGTTCTGTACCATCTGTACCTGTTCTGTACCAACTATACCTGTTCTGTACCAACTGTACCTGTTCTGTACCTGTTTTGTGCTACCTGAACCTGTCCTGTACCACCTGTACCTGTACCTGATCTGTAAAACCTGTACCTGAACCTGTCCTGTACCACCTGTACCTCTTCTGTACCACCTGCACCTGTACCTATTCTGTACCTGATCTGTATCACCTGTACCTTTTCTGTACCAACTGTACCTGTTCTGTACCACCTATACCTGTTTTATACCACCTGTACCTGTTCTGTACCACCTGTACCTAAACCTGTTCTGTACCACCTGTGCCAGTTCTGTACCACCTGTACCTAAACCTGTTCTGTACCACCTGTGCCAGTTCTGTACCACCTGTACCTGAACCTGTCCTGTACCACCTGTACCTGTTCTGTACCACCTGTACCTGAACCTGTCATGTACCACCTGTACCTGAACCTGTCCTGTACCACCTGTACCTGTTCTGTACCACATGTACCTGTTATATACCACCTGTACCTGAACCTGTCCTGTACCACCTGTTTTCCAATCAGATCATGTTAGCAGTTTTTTCCACTTGTTGTCAATAGTTTGTTTTTGCAATAATTTTAACAATTGATTGACGGCTCGGGAGTTCGATTTCTCGCCTGACGTGGAAGAAAAAGAAGTTAGTAAACATACAAAAAAGTTGTTGTTGTACATAAGTTAGGGCATAATGTTAAAATGATATGACTGGTATTGAAATCCTTGAAATCAAAATGACAACGTAGTAATTTCAGAAATATGTAAGTAATTTGGGGATTTGTAATCATCCAGGCAATAAATTGATAAACCCGTGTTAAAATATTCTTACCACAAAATGATTGTGAGCTTGAAATGTGTGTCTTAATTTCCGTGAGTGAATGAAGCGCAGTTCCAGTCAAAGTTCAACGTGCCAGCCAATAGGAAACCTGGTGTCTTGGAAGTTCAATAACACCCGCCTAAAGGAATAGAACTGTTCTGAAATTACAATCTCTTCAACACAGCTGATACCATATCAATTTCTGTTGAACAATCATTCACATCAACATGAAAATGAAGCTGATAATTTTGGATGCTACCAGCGTACCAAGCTATATACTGATGCCCATGAATGTTAATTCCGATTTCCATTTGAGAAATCAGTCGAACCACGGGCGTCAGAGGAATAAGTACACTGTCGGTTGTCAGGAGAATAAGTAAAATTCATAAAGGCGTTAATTGAATATGAAATTTATGTTTAAAATGGTGTGTATTTCTTTGATGTTTATTTACAGAAACTGTGTTGGTCAACATTTCGCACTTGATGAACAAAAGGTTGCCCTTGCAAAATTACTTCAAAGGTAAATATTAATGAGTATAATTCAAATTATCCCCGGTATTTCATTATCTCAGCAAATCTAATCCGTATAGTAACTTCATATCTTATCAACATACCAAACTGTATTGTATAAACTTTCCTGTGTTTTACATTGAATGTGGTTTTGTTTCAGATTTAAAGTATTGCCAGACCCCGACCACCAACCGGAAATAGATCTTGATCTCGTTCTGCGGTCTACAAACGGAATACGAATAAAGTTACAGAGACGATAAAGTGTACTTCCGGGTGATCGTCATGTGTATTGTTTTGTGACAAGTGATGTGGGTGATCGTCATGTCGTATTGCTTTGTGACAAGTGATGTGAGTGATCGTCATGT